GATGTTACTTTGACCAGGGCTTGAGCCCAGACCCTGCGGAGTGTAAGCGCGCAATGCTTACCACTGCACCACAGTGGCCACACGATAGCATTGGTGTTAACTATATTGATGAATAACACGAGTTTGACAGAAAAATCTATGATGATTTCCATATCTATAACATCAAGAACTAGAATAATTTCGATGCGGACAAGAGTGCGTACTTGCTATGTAGAGGAGTTGAAAACAAATATTTTAGGTAATGGAAAATCTTCCTTAAATTATTATATTATTCCCTTTATTATTATAAAATTTATTTTAGTCTAAGACTTCTGCCAAAATATTTCGGAAAATTTAAATTTTACGTGAACTAGGCCGATTTGAAAATGCCTCCAAAAATCTTATTATTTTGATTCCATTAAAAAAAATTTTAAATATTTTTATGCAGACCTTTTAAGTTGAAACTGTCATCTGAAGAGATTCTTTTAGAAAAACTTTATTTACAAACAGGTAAGAAAGTCTAAGTTCGGGCGGAACCGAACATTAAATACCCGGCGCACGTATTAAATATATGTTTTTCACCTTACCGAAAGCTATCGCTACATGGTAAGCCGGGGTGTATCCATTTTGAGTAAATTAGCGTCCTTAAATTTCGAAATATTGAAGTTTCAAGCATTTCTGAAATTTACTGTTATATGAAAAGCGGCGGTAATTTTAGTTCGATTTCAATAATTTTCAACGTTTTGCTTTTATGTGGCAAGCACAATAACCACACCGAGTTTGGTACAAATTGGTTGAACGGTTACCGAGATACATATATGTGATCATAAGTAGGCCGTTCCACGCCCATTTTTCAAAATTTTATCATAAACGTATTTCTTGGTAAAGAATTGTTGCAAACATCAATTTTGAATAAATTAGCTTCAATAATTACTGATTTATCGAAGATTTCGTATTTCTCTAAATTACCGTTATATGGGAGGTAGGCGTGGTTATTGTCCGATTTTGCCCATTTTCAATACCGTCCGTCCTACGCCCGAAAGAAGTGCACATACCAAGTTTCGTTAAGATATCTCAATTTTTACTCGAGTTATCGTGTGCACAGACGGACAGACGGACGGCCGGACAGACATTCACCGCTTAATCGATTTCTCTTTTCATCCTGATCATTTATGTATACATTTGTCTATATCTATCTCGATTCGTTTTGCCTGTTACAAACAACCGTTATGTGAACAAAGTTATAATACCCTTGTGCACAAGTGCGCTCGGGTTTAAAAACTTGATTTTTGCAGCTATTTTCAAATGAGACCAGCGCACGTAAAACTCAATATTTTTCAGAAATATTTTGGCGGAAGTCTTAAAATATAATAAATTGCATAAGTTCGATGGAAAATTTCTACATATTTTTGGTTGTATGGAGAGTGACGCACCCTAATGCTCGCACACGTAATAATCGTTAATGAATCTCATATGTATGTAAAATTTAGCTTAGCATTTGAAAAACTGTTTACGACAAATGACTTTTCTCGTTGAAAACAAACAGTTGTATACTTAGAAAAAAAAAACGTGTTGTTTCTGTCAACAAATAGCAATTGCGTTAAAGTGCATTTATCACTGCCAAATCACGCCACTAATGCCTACTAATTGACACACTAATTGACAACAACATCAAAATAAACTGCGATAAAGAGTAAGTTATGTTTCAAGCCATTTTGTAAACCCTTAGGCCCACACCATTCTACGCGATTTTATCGTACGAATATTTGCCAAAAATTGGCCAGCAAATTATCCTTCCTTAGCAGATAATTTATTATCATTTGTGGTCGAAGTGAAAGTTATCGAAGTCATCGTTGCTTAATAAACAGTTTCCTATAATACGAGCAGCTAAAGCAACAACAACAGCATTTACAATTGTGCATAGTCATACATACAACACAACACTTTTGCAAGGATATTTTCACGCCAACTATCCACAAACTATTGACTAGTGTCACAAGACCTTTGTAAAGTGCCCACAATGACAATAGACCACAAGCATAGCAGCTACTCGCCTCCATTTGCCTGTATGTGTGTGCCTGTGTGCTAATGTTCTTGTAATCTCCCCTTGAACTTCTTGAACTTTTAACCGCTGCTGGGCTTAAAATGTCAACTCGCCCAAATCGAAGGCTTACGTACACAAATGTTGGTCAAGGAGATACTTGCGTTGCAAAAAAAGCTCTGCACATAATCGAAGGATGCGCTGCGGTTGGAAAGGATAAGTACCTTTCGTGTGGTAGCAAATGTTTGTGATGGGGTTTCTTTCGAGCTATTAAGAAACTTGCTCACATACACAAGTACATGAAGAAGTATAAACGTTATGAATTAAGTATTTTACTGAATTAATCTTTACTTACGCACTCACTTGGCGTAAATGGAGCATTTAAAATGGGAAATATAAAGAAAATTGTGTGGTTAGTGAATATTATTATGCCGTTTAAAAATGTTGCATTGAAGCAAAGCTTAAAGCGCTCAAAATGTGCAGCGGTGTTTGCTAAATATGTTATCCAACTAGCCTTACCACTAGAAGAAAAGTTAATTGCCCATAAAAAATACATATCCGCTTACTTTCGGCTCATATTCGTTTCATAAATTTCGTATTTCATTCCAAAATCCGTTATGCTATTGTACTGAATACCCCTTTTCTCTATTTTCTCTGAAATAAACATAGCTACTAATAAATTATGACGTTAGAATTGTTTAACTAAAATAAAAGCCGGTCCGAATGGGGCCACATAACAAAAACATTTATCAAGTTAAGCTATGCCCTTCAAATGATTGAATTTTAAGCCCATACGTTACATAAATTTTGCAGTATGGAAAGTCCATAAAGAACACTGAGGCTTTAGACAAATACTATTGAACCCACATGGTGTTTAAAACACCCAAAATTGAATTTAAAAAAGCGTAAAAGTGTTCCTAATGTTAAAGGTGAGAAATAAAGAGTTTATAAACCTATTTCAATTGGTACCCCCCATTTAAAAATTAATTTAACTTATTAAATAATTTAAATTTATTTTTTTATTTAATTAAATGTGACCTTTCCAACACATAACAGCCCTCTCCTAAAGTATTTTCAAGCTAAAACTTTGTTAACTCTCCTTCGTCTGACACCGTCTGTGCACACGATAACTCGAGTAAAAATTGAGATATCGTAACGTGCACTTCTTTCGGGCGTAGGACGGATGGTATTGAAAAATCGGAAAATAACCACGCCTACCTCCCACATAACGGTAATTTTCAGAAATACGAAAACTGCGATATTTTGGTAGCTACTGAAGATAATTCACTCAAAATTGATATTTACAATCGAACCTTCGAACCTTGGCACAGTTGTTAGCCTTGTTACAGCATACCAAATGGCCGACAATTTTTAAAATCGCAAAATAACCACACCCACATCCCATATAACGGTAATTTGGAGAAATACGAAATCTTCGATAAATCAGTAAATATTAAAGCTAATTTACTTAAAATTGATGCTTGCAACAATTCTTTACCAAGAAATACGTTTATGATAAAATTTTAGAAAATAGGCGTGGCCCCACCCACTTATGATCACATATATGTATCTCGCTAACGCGTTCTAGCAATTTGTACCAAACTCGGCACGGTTATTGTACTTGCCAAATAAAAGCAAAACGTTGAAAATTATTGAAATCAGACTAAAATTGAGGCCGCTTTTCATATAACGGTAAATTTCAGAAATGCTAGAAACTTCAATATTTCGAAATTTAAGGGCGCAAAATTACTCAAAATTGATACACCCTGGTTTACCATATTGCGGTAGCTTTCGGAAAGGTGAAAATCATATATTTAATACTTGCGCCGAGTATTTAATGTTCGGCTCTGCCCGAACTTAGACTTTATAACTTGTTTTTTTTTTTTTTTAGAAATAAAGATTTTTCAAACTGCCTTCGATTGACACCCATTGTTTAAAAATTCATTTAACTTATTAAATAATTTGAACTTAACCTTTTGTACAGCTGGCAACTCTCTTACATATATATTTTTAGTTCAAACTAAAGATGCACGCAATCTTACACCCTGAATGCGATCAGGCATCTACTTCCACTTGATGAAATTTCTCGGGGTGGCCGTTATTGCGCAGTAAAACTCAAAGAAACCAGTTCATGAATCAAAGGAATCTATGGCCATGCAGATGTTCTTGGTACATCACCGCGCCCCGGGTGTATTAAGAAAACGTGTTTGCCATTTAAGAGGCACCATGAAATCTTGATAAAAGACTTAGAGAGAAGAAACGAGTATTTTTCTTCCGTGCCAATCAGCAGCCCTCGAATCTTTACACACCATATATACAATGCAAACTCCCTTACTGAATGCTGTACCTCTGATCGAGTTAGCACAGATTTATAGAATCAAATGAGTATATGTACTTTAGGGCAATTTTTTTCCGACTATTGTTTTTTTCACTTCTATCTCAAAATTTTTTGGAAAACACCCAAAAAAAAGCTCCCTGAAAATTTGAACCCTTAATATTAACATTAAGTACTCGCCCAAGGCGTGCAAAGATTTCCCATATAAAATACACATAAACTTTGAGTTTTTTCTTAAAAAAATCTATTTATGGTATAATCTTGGTCAATAATTGGTTTTATTCAGAATTGAATGCTCTACAAGAGTTTCCATGGCGGTGTAATCCTAACTCCCACCAGCGAGGTAGTACGGGTCACTAAACCCAATTTTTTCATGAAATTCTCGTTTTTTTGCCCCTATCTTGAAAACAACAAGAGCTAAAGAACAAATATAAATGAAAAAGTTGTAGGACCTTCAATTTCCTACAAAAAAGTTTCAGAACACAAAATCGCTTATATCGATATTTCTTGAGATATTGGGCTTTGAAGTTGAGGTAGTGTGGAATTTTCATGGACTATTAAGCTAAATTGTTGATCCCAACAAGAAGCTAGGACTTGGCCGGTTCCACCAGCAATTTAAATGGAAAATTATTTTATATTTTCTGTCAATTTCCATATAAAATTCAAAAAATTAAAATCAATTTTCACTTAAATGGCTTTCGCGAAATTGGCTTTTAATGTTGATTTTTGGCATTTCTTTTTTTTTAGTTGAAGGTATTCCTCATTTTGTGGTGGTTTTTGTTAGACAATGAGCTATACTTTTATAGAAAAAATAATATACATTAAATAAATAAAAGAAAAATTGGCAAAACTTGCCCAAATGTCGCGTCCATATTTATATTTTCGCCACCGTATGACATGAACGTTTTGAGACTACTCCTAAAATTTTTACTACAAGGTACATATGTACATCCATACACACATACATACATAGATATATGCATTGCCCCTCCTAACAAAGTAGACAAAATTGTATTACGTCAAAAACTTTTATAATAAAGTCCAACCAACTGCCGTCGGTCGTCTAAGCCAGATTTGTTGTCGCACTAATGACGTAGACAACAAACAAGCGGCAACTGCGATTTTACCTCCAGCTGATTATGATGAATGACAAGAAAGTTTAAATTACTGCTCGTATACTCGTATGTACATAGTTAGGTACATAAGTTACACCAGCGGCTAGGAGTTGTCGAGCTTCGCGAAAAATATTAACATTGAACATGTGTGATGAATTTGTGTTGACAAAGAATACTAATAAAGGCACTTACATATTAGAAAGTGGGCGGGGGACGAATGACAATGCGTATGTAACTATGCATATTGCCTTTATATTTATTAGGGGTATTCACGATCTGGTACATAATGTCTAGGTTGGTGCATAGATAGCATAAATAGCATGATTGGCTAGTTTTGTTGTTGTTTGAACACATGAAACAACAACAATCATAGATAGCATAAATAGCATGATTGGCTAGTTTTATTGTTGTTTGAACACATGATACAACAACAATCATGCTATTTATGCTATCTGTGCACCATCCTACACAGTATGCACCGGATCGAGAATACCCATATTGTCTTCCGCCACCAAAAAAACAGCAAAAAGAAGAAGTTAATACTCGTGTCCGCACAAGTTGGGTGTTTATGGGATTATAATACAACTTTAATAGCTAAATGTGCTGTCACTGGAGCCGATATGTTTAGCACCGGTGGCCACAAAGTATAGACAGATAGCAGGAAGATGAAGAACAAGAAGAACAACAACAAGTCGCAGACATGGCAAACTGACCTTATCATTGACGGATTAACAGCAAATGACCGCAACAATTCACGGATGTGGACTTGTATGCCTGTGCTGGCTAAAATTAGACAGCAACAAAGCAACAAATTGTGGAAAACAACAAAACACTTTTTTTTGCAATGGGGTGCTAATGCAACACTTGCTAGTGTTTGCTGCCTATTTGTAACTTTTTACTACAAGTTGGACTTGTTAAACGCTTTCGCACAAGCTGTGCAAATTTATGTTGCATGTTGATTTTGCCCCAACCTGCAGAGGATATCAAATGTGCGCATAATAAATGCAGAATCAACTTGTCTCACCCGTCTTACCCATACCCACGCCTGTACAGGGTAGCATTCGCTACAAAAGCATTGCAATATTTTACTCGATCTGCAGAGTGAAAAAAGTGGCATTGGTCAATGGGTAATAAAAAATGGCAAACATAGAACAAACAAGCGGCAGAAATTAGCAAAAACCACAATCTGATATGTTAATGCGGCGGCTAATCATGTTTTCCGCCTTTTACCCATCAAATCAACAACTAGATTTCGCACAGTCGCCCTTCGCGCACATACAATCCTAAGCAAATGCTAAGTATGTATGTGTGCATTAGGATGATCCTTAAAATATCAGCATCATGGGGCAGCCACTTATTTTAATATGCGCAAAATAAGGACATCCACGAAAATTTAAAATTTTCAAACTAGTTTTTAGGGTTTTAAAAAATCAAAAATCAAAATTTTTTCGAATTTTTTGTAATCTTTTTTCTTTAAATTTTTTCAAACCCTGGTAGCGAGCCCTAAAAATTTGTTTAAAACTTTTAAATTTTCGTGTATATCTTTATTTTCTATAAAGTGGTGGATGTTGTCATTTTTAAGGACCACCCTAATGTGCCTCAATGTTACACATGATGCCACTTGCCCTACCCATCTGGGGTGTTGCATAATTTTATATGTTTTATAAAGAAAAACTTTGCGGCTCCTGTTGCACAAGTTTGTTGGCGCAGCTGTAACATTAGTTGCAGAAAAAATCAATGCTGGCTGGTCTCCGTGGCTGACAAGTTAAGCTCATTTAAAAGCCTGCATTTCTTCAATTCAAGGTGTGAGTTGTCTCTGTAAAAAGTATTTTGTATTCGTTTTGTGTTTTTTTTTTTATTTATTGGTGAATTATAATGGGCGTTCTTTTTTTATTAGTGCATCATCTGTGGCCACGTAAATCCTACTAAAATTGCATTTGAGGAATTATGAAAAAATGTTGGGGTAAATTGTGATATAGAGGAAGTAATATTGATTGGTGGTAAGATTATTACTTTTGCAATTGGAAATAAATATGTATATTTCTCTCTGCATTTGTACATTATTTTCATGGCTTTTTAGCGAAACAAGCTAGTTTTTATTTAAAGTGTCCATCCTATAAAGCTGTGTTCTTCGCTGCTTAGCATTCGGTAAACTACTGTGAATCTATCTACCAGAAACTAGTCTCGCTTATGCGTAAACAACGCCAAACAGCCATTAAAAATTGACCAAACCCCTGTGTTTGGGATCAATTGGTTTTCAAACGCCGCTGCTATCTCGTTGGCTTTCCCGGCTCCTACTGCTTCTACCAAATCGAAGCCTATGAGCCTCGTGATATAACTAATAATAATAATAATCCCAACGGTTTTTACCCTCCATTACCGCCAATCCGCACGAGGGGCGCAGTCCGCATGACGTACAGAATCAGTAATTTCAAGTTTTGCACCGAGTCACGATAGGCAGGAGTTTGTTCAGGTACATAACTAAATGCATCAGCTGATTTTATGGCTTTATGTTAATAATTCATTTATTGAGAGAGGAGAGTACCGCTTTCCTAACACTGAAAAGCGGATCCGCTATATCAAACGTGCTGGAATGAGAGTTAAAATCCTGGCATAAGCAACGGAGTGGGTCGTGCAACTCAAAATTAGTTTTACAAGCTTTCAGAAATAGCCCCGGAGGGAACATTAAGGCTAACTTCACCCAGAAGAAGCGGACTTGAAATTGAGCCAGTCAGTAATTTAACTTTAACAAGTAAGAATGTCTAAGTTCGGGCGGAGCCGAACATTAAATACCCGGCGCAAGTATTAAATATATGTTTTCCACCTTTCCGAAAGCTACCGCTACATGATAAGCCGGGGTGTATACATTTTAAGTAAATTAGCGTCCTTAAATTTCGAAATATTGAAATTTCAAGCATTTCTGAAATTTACCGTTATATGAAAAGCGGCCGTAATTTTAGTCCGATTTCAATAATTTTCAACGTTTTGCTTTTATGTGGCAAGTACAATAACCATACCGAGTTTGGTACAAATTGGTAGAACGGTTACCGAGATACATATATGTGATCATAAGTGGGCGGTGCCACGCCCATTTTCCAAAATTTTATCATAAACGTATTTCTTGGTAAAGAATTGTTGCAAGCATCAATTTTGAATAAATTAGCTTCAATATTTACTGATTTATCGAAGATTTTGTATTTCTCTAAATTACCGTTATATGGGATGTGGGCGTGGTTATTGTCCGATTTTAAAAAGTTTCGGCGGTTTTTTATGCTGTACCAAGGCCAACAACTGTGCCAAGTTTGGAAGAAATTGGTGCAGCGGTTACCAAGATATACACATGTAACCATAAGTGGGCGTGGCTACGCCCATTTTCCAAAAATTTATAATATTCTTATTTTTCGTCTAAAACTTATTGTAAATATCAATTTTGAGTGAATAATCTTCAGTAGTTACTAAAATATCGCAGTTTTCGTATTTCTGAAAATTACCGTTATATGGGAGGTAGGCGTGGTTATTGTCCGATTTCGCCCATTTTCAATACCATCCGTCCTACGCCCAAAAGAAGTTCACGTACCAAGTTTCGTTAAGATATCTCAATTTTTACTCGAGTTATCGTGTGCACAGACGGACGGACGGACAGACAGTCACCGCTTAATCGATTTCTCTTTTCATTCTGATCCTTTATGTATACATTTGTCTATATCTATCTCAATTCGTTTTGCCTGTTACAAACAACCGTTATGTGAACAAAGTTATAATACCCTTGTGCACAAGTGCGCTCGGGTATAAAAATTTTACCAATCATTTGCCTGCGACTGGCAAGTGTAGGAAGATTAATAAGCTTTAATCATCTCGTATAAGGCGGAAGGTTACATTGAGAATCCCAACGGAAATTTCTTAAAGCAAAAAGTAGGAATTGTTTTTGAATTGATTCTATCTTGTCTGAGTAAATTTTATACCTTGGATTCCAAACCACCGAACCGTATTCCAGAATCGGTCTAACTAATGTTGTAAACAGGGGTTTAGTGATAAAAGGGTCACAAAATTCTTTTGACCATCGTTTCACAAATGCAAGTACACTTTTAGCCTTGTTGACTGTCACATTAATGTTAAGATTAAAATTAAACTTAGGATCCATTGTGATACCAAGGTCCACAAAATTGTATACCTGTACCAGGTTATGGTTACCTATTGTATAAGAAGAGGGAAGAACAGTTCTTCGCGAGAAGCCCATTACTTTACATTTCGTAAGATTTAGAGGGATATGATTTACTTTACACCAGTAAGCCATGCTGTTTAAGTCTGATTGTAGCAAAGACCTTTCTTTAATTGAAACGAACGATTTATAAAGCTTTACATCATCTGCATACATTAAAATTTTGGAAAATTGTATATCTGTAGAAATATAGCAAGAACAGAACCGGGCCTAGGTGGCTACCTTGAGGGACTTCTGACGTAAGATCAATGACGTCAGATATATTTAGTATTTTTAAACATTACCCTTTGTGATCTATCATAGAGGTATGAAGAGATCCAACGTAGAACATTAGGTGGAAGACCAAGAAGATCAAGCACAGCAACGAGTGGCACACTTTGTCAAATGCTTTACTAAAGTCAGTATATATAACATCAACAGTTTTGCTTTCACTAAATGCTTTTGCGACATAGGATGTTAATTCCAGTAAATTTGTAAAAGTTGATTTGCCCTTGCAAAATCCATGTTGACTGTATGAAATGCTAGAAGAGATAGAATGCGTCAACTGATTTGTTATAATTGCTTAAAATAATTTAGGAATTGCAGAAAGCTTAGCTATTCCCCGGTAGTTCTCCACTGAAGATCTGCTACCGATTTTTTGTAACGGGGTTATGAACGATTCCTTACATATAGTTGGAAAAACGCCCTCTTTAAGAGACAAATTAAATAACGTTGTTAACGGCTCATAGAGATAATCAGCACAATTTGTAAGAATACAAGTAGGGATCTGGTCAGGACCACAACTGGAGGACTGCTTTAAGGATTTCATATAAACCACTACATAATCGGGTGACATTACTGAGATATTTATTGAGTTAATTGGACATAGTTTAAAAGGATAATCAATGTTAGCATGTAAGTTGATGGAATAATTGGATTTGAAAAACTGAGCGAACATGTTAGAAATTGTTTGATTATCACTAGAGACGGTATTTTGATACATCAAAAAGTTGACACTTATAAAATCTAGCGCACTTTCAACCTCAGATCTCATAGCACTATATCGTGGATCATTATTTTTTTCGGGTTTCTGAATGTCCCATATGATCTGATGCGAGGATGATTGAAATTGATAACAATGAATAATAAATAAATCACCCTTAATCATCCTGCCCATGGGAGCTATCTTCTCCACTGTGCTGTGCTGAATTCAAATGAATAACAAACATTTTTGGAAACTTTGATTTTGTTCCTGACAACTGGTGTCACTGTATGCATATCTAGAATAACTTTGTGCAGCTTTGTGAGCGAGCGAACTCTTTTACGGACAGCTCGGGTTTTGGCGGAAGGGTCGCTGGTTTGACTGCTGTGATTTGTTTCAGGTAGAGATAACCGTTGTTAGAGAAAAATTTGACAAAGTAGGTAAATATTTATTCTGAAACCAATGCAGCTATTTGGGCAGTGCATTCAGAACGAGTTGGGGAACTTTGGCCTCCATTTTGGCCGCGTAACAGTATTAACTGGCTTTGAAGGTCAAGCGTGAGGTACACTGACGGAGCAAGAAGAGAACTGCAGCGCTTTTGACTATGTGTGGACTTTCCTTATTCAGTTAGCTCAGGAAACGCTGGAGGAAACTAAGGAGCTGTGCAATCGAAAGGTCCTTCTGCTCCGAGCTGGAACGGACTCCCTATAGAACTTCCTTCACGGTGAGCTTGGATAAGGATGGGTGAGGACTTTTTGGTCAATCCTTATCCAAGCTTACCGTGCCTTGCAATGATGCATATATCTCATAAACAAAAAATATTTAATCTCTAATTACCCACACGACTAATAGTAGCACAATTGCATGGGGTTTTCCGTGACGTCAAAAAATAAATCGACCTTCCAAAGATCGATTTTTGTATTTTGTCAAATAATGCACTTTTCTTAATTATTATAAACACTGTGATCTGACCAACATTGAAACTACAAACAGTTATTGCAAGTAATTTTTAAAACATAAATTTTTCATCATTCAAGTAGCTCACAATCGCAAATACTTAAAAAAAAAAAAAAAAAAATGTGAGACGATTTTTTTCTATAATAAGACAACGATATGAGCATTCCACAGAAATTTAACAATTTCTTAGCCCGACTTAGGAAGATGGTTACAATTTTTTGAATTTTTGTATGTTTGTTTTTTTGCTTATTAACACTAAAAGGAAAAAATTTGACGTTTTACTTCAAAATTAAACGCTATTTTAAGTAATGTATTATATACACTAGCCTAATAAAGCGTACGTACATAGATTTTTTGCGATGCGAAGTTTTTATTTTATTTTTGTTTTAGCTAACTGTATATTTCACTCCTTAACACACCCTCTTCGAAAAAATGCAGTGCAATTGTGAAGATAGTAAGACTTAAAGTTGATTTTTGGCAAGTTTTTTTTTTTGACGACGTATGCTCGAAATTATTTTTTATGTCTTACAAAATGTACATGAGCGTCAAGAAAAAAATCTTCAAAAATTAAGGGTAACTTCTAACATCTCTAAACTTGCACTTTATTATACCAAAATACATACTAAAATTTTTCTAATAAGTGTAACTAGGGAGTTAAAGGAATTCATGAAAATTTCCACAATGTTTGGAATTCAATTTTTTGACAGTTGTTTAATAATTTTATAAACGGTTATTTTTAAAAATCAGCAATAAATCTAATCGGAGAAACTCGATTAATCGATCTTCGATTTAATCTATCTAAAAACGGTATCTATACTGTATAGATTATCCTTAGCAGCGCATGCTAACCTACCAGTTTGAAATTAATAAGAGTTGTCCTAGTGAACTTGAGAAATTATTTTTAATCGTTTTTATGTAAGATTTTCTTTGACAGAAGTGACACAACACAGAAGTTTGCTAAAAAAGCAACTAGGAGGAGAAACTTGTTTATATTTTTTTTTTTTCAAAGAAGACAACGTTTTTAATAACTAGATGTCCAAGCTGTAGGAATGAAAAAAAAAGTATGAGCAATTTGAAACTACTTTTGCTTAACAACGCCTCAAATTAACATCAATTGTGTAAATTGCTAATACTAGAAAAAAATGCCGCACCTCCACTCAATCAACGCTGTGAAGTTATGAATCTGCGTAATCATCAGACCATCGACACCAACGACCGAGCGTAAACGACACCACCAAACTACCGCTTCCAGTTAGTTAAGCAACTTGAGCCAAATGCCAATCTTTAATTCTTCGTGCACACCACTCAGCGAAGGCAATAAGCTGAAGAAAAAATTTAATTAAGCAACAATTTGCCACTTATTTATTTGGGGTGATTTTCGACCCAAAATATCTAATATGCAAATAAAAAAAAAAGATAAAAATGCGCTACTTAAAAAATTACAATTAGCAACAGAGAATGAGGCAACACCTGCCAACAGGCATGTCGAAGTGAAAAAGATTGGGCGAAAAGTAAAAGAAGATAGAAAATCAAATTGAAAAGCAAAGCAGCAGGAAACGACAACTGGGAGGATGCTTCTCAGCGCTGCTGGGGAAATTTGAACGGTTCAAACATCAAAGTGCAAGTAAATTAGCGAATTTAACACCAGCAAAGTTATGAAGAGATAATGGTGCACTAAAAAAAGCACAAATAATTGAATAAAATTTAGAATTACATTTTTATTATTAACGTATAATGTATGTATGTACATATGCATTAACATTAGACCGTACCAAAAAAAAAAAAATCTCGAATGTAAAGTATACTTTTGCAGGGCAATTTAGAAAAAAAAATTGTTTTTTCTTTGACCGAACGTAGGGGCCGCCTGTTGTTCCAAAATGTATTAATCTCAAGTACCCCGTTCTAGTACAGTTTCTACCACTCTCAAAATATCATTCATGCATGGGTAAAGAAGTATTTCGAATCCAAGAAAATTTCCAATTTTTTCGACTTTTCTAATTTTTCGTCATATCGTCGGCATTTACGGTCGGATCTTAAAGTGTGATATGTCGATGTTCTTGTCTGAAGGGGCCAATTTTTTTGTACCAAAATTTATTATACTTATCTTTCAACGCACCACAGTTTTTCGAAAGGCAAAAGTCTTTCGCAATACATATATTTTCCTGATCAAAAACTAAAAATTAAAACAAAATTTAATTAACAAACATATTGTTTAAAAAGTAAGCTTCTATAAATTAAATGAAATTTAAAAAAATATTTTTCGTTTTTAAACGATAAAATCCAATAAACGAAAGCAAATAAATCGTGTTACGAAGCACAATAACATTGCTGAAAGTAAATATTATTACGCCACAATAATAATAACAAAACGAA